GAATGAAGGACATAACAAAAGCAAATATGGTCACACTTCTGATTTAGGTCAAATCTGACAAAATATTTATGAAACTGTTACTAAAAACAGCCTAAAATATTAAAAATAGAAGAGTAACTTCTAGGATAACAAAAGAAAAACATGGACACTGACTGATTTGTGAGATGCTCAATTCCAATAAGTGATAGTCAAATTCCCACGTTATCTAAAAGATATATTTTTGTGCTTTACTGTTTAAAAAAGAAAATGTGAAAAAAAGATGAACTAAAAACTTTTTAGGTATTTATCCTATATAACAAAAGGGTAATATGCAAATTGACCCTAACAGCAGAATAACCAGAACGACCATTGGACTAATCACTTAAAAATATACATATTTTATTGATTTTTTACAGAGAGGAAAGGAGAGGGATAGAGAGCTAGAAACATTGATGAGAGAGAAACATCAATCAGCTGGCTCCTGTACACCCGCTAATGGGGATGTGCCTATAACCAATGTACATGCCCTTGACTGGAATCGAACCTAGGGCTTTTCAGTCTGCAGACTGATGCTCTATCCACTGAGCCAAACCAGTTTTGGCTGAACCAGTCATTGTAAGACGCACTGATCACCTCTTGGTTCCTTTCCCTGGCTGGCAGGCTCTGATCGCCTGATGGCCATCATGAAAACAGTGAGCTCGTGGGAACAGCCAACTTCTTGGTCCCTTCCCCTAGCCATCAGGTACCAATCACCCAATGGTGAATGGGGAACTGGGGGTGGGTGGCAGTGGGAGGTAGGGCTGGCTGCAACCAGCTGGGGAAGATGGCTCTAATCGCAGGCCAGGCCTAGGGACCGTACCCGTACAGGAATTTTGTGCACCGGGCCTCTAGTAATATAATTCAGTGTATCCTAAAACAAAGACAGATTTCCTATGAAATCATATCCACTGAGAAGCAGACTCTATACAAAACACTAAAACAACAGAGAAGCTTTTATATGATTTTGATAATAAAGCCTTTAACTGACCTCAAGCTTTGTAAAAAGGATATTAAAAAAAAAAAAAAAAAAAAAGCATTGTACTGCATTGTACTGTGGACTGAGGGGTTCCAGGTTCAATTCTGGTCAAAGGCATGTATCTTGGTTTTGGGCACATCCCTGATGGGGCATGTGCAAGAGGCACCTGATCAATGTTTTTTTCTCATCGATGTTTCTACTCTACTCTCTCCCTTCCTCACTGTAAAAAATAAATTAAATATATATTTTTTAAAAAACAATAAAGAATAAAAAGAGTATGATATCTACATAAGGGAATATGACTTATTACAGTAAACAAAACACTTTAACATAAAAATAATGAAGTTAATGATACTATATTTGCAGTAATGAATCCAATTAAAATAATCATTTAAGAAGACAATTAAAGTACATTGAAATAGAATTGGTAGAAATGCAATTTGACTCCTAATTCTATCAAATTTGCCTCTGAAAGAGAAATATATGACAGTATATCCCACTTCTGGGTACTTATTCAAAGAAATACAAAACACTATTAAAAAAGGCATATGCATCCCTATGTTCATTGCAGCATTATTTACAATGTAAAATGTGGAAGGAACCTACATGTTTATTGTTAGATGATTAGATAAAAAAAGGTATGATACATAAATACTATGAAATCTTGGCCATAAATTAGAAATAAATCTTACCATTTGCAATAACATGGATGGACCTAGAAGGTACTATGCTAAGTGAAATAGGTTAGACAGAGAATGGACAAATACCATATGATTTCACTTATAGTGGAGTCTAAAGAACAGAATAAACTAATAAGCAAAACATAAAATACTCAAAGATACAGAAATCATTTTGATCGGTCAGGTGGGAGGGAGGTTTGGGAACTGGGTGAAAAGGTGAAGGTGTTAGGAAATACAGATTGGTAGTTACAGAATGGGAATGGAGATGTAAACTATAGCATAGGAAATACAGTCAGTAATGTTATAATCATCACTAGTGGCCCAGTGCACGAAATTCTTACACTGGCCTGTGCCCCGTCAGTGTGGGAGCCCCACGATCCATCACCCTAAAGAGGTAGGTTCCGTGCATCCATCCAGGCTCCTCGATGGATTGCCCCAAAGAGGTAGGCCGGAGCCAGGAGAGACCTGCAGACCCTAGGCCAGGCCACAGTGGAGGCCTGCAGACCCCCAGGGGCAGGCCCACAGTGGAGGCCTCCCTCTACGTACACTTGCCTAACCTCTGCCATGGCCCTGCCCCCTTTCCCTGCAAGGCCCCGCCCACTCATGCCTGCTGTGAATGCTACCTGCTGATCGGTGGTGACATTATGGCATCCTAGACAATTTGTATATTCCTCTGTTATTATACTAAAGGCCTGGTGCACAAAAATTTGTGCATTGGGGAGAGGGGTGTCCCTCAGCCCAGCCTGCCTCTCTCACAGTCCAGAAGCCCTCAGGGGATGTCCTACTGACGGCTCCTCTATGGGAGGCAACTGGGCTGATCAGGGGAAGGTGCTGCCTCCATCACCCCACTGCTGCTGCCACTGCCAGCCACCACAGCAGCCAAAGTGTTTTCATCAACAGAGTCTAGTCCCTTCACCACAAAAAAAATGACAAAGTAGGTTTAGGCATTTTCAAGATGTCTCTTTCATAGGCTATGACATTTGTTCCTTCCTTCCTTCCTTCCTTCCTTCCTTCCTTCCTTCCTTCCTTCCTTCCTTCCTTCCTTCCTTCCTTCCTCTTTTCCTTCCTTCCTTTCTTTCTTCCTCACCAGAGGATATTTTTCCATTGATTTTTAGAGAGTATGGAAGAGAGAGGTAAACACAGAAACATGTGAGAGGGATACTTCTATTGGTTGCCTCCTGCATGAGCCCTGACCTGGGCCCTGGCCAGGGAGGAGCCTGCAACCTAGGTACATGTCCTTGACAAGAATTGAACCTGGACCCGGTGGTTGGCAGGCTGAGGCTCTATACACTGAGCCAAACCCGCCAGGGCAGGATATGACATTTTTTAGCTCCTCCAGCAGCAGACCTTCATTTTTTCCTCCAGTAGTATGGTGGAAAAACCTTAGATTACCTTCTTGGATTTTTACTACCCAAGTTACCAAGAACATAGTGAGTAGTGTACTGGGAGCTTAGCCAATGAGCGGTCAGAAAAGGTGTTTCCTCTGCAGCACACATGCAGAGGTGGGACTGCCAGCACACTGTAGCTGACAGGACTTGTTATCTCTGGGCCTCCCCACACAATGGTGGCTGGCACAACTGTGCGGTCCATGGCTTGCCTCACCATGCACACAGTCTCCTCCTGCCCACCTGCACAAGCATCCTCCTCCTGAGCAGTTGTGACATTACAGTGTCCCAGACAATTTGCATATTACATATATATGATGGATGGTGCCAGGTGGGTACTAGATTAATGGATGTGATCACTTTGTAATGAATATAAATGTTTTATTACTATGCTGTACATCTGAAACTAATATAATATTGTATGTCAACTGTAATTAAAATTATTCTAATTGACAATATATCACTTCATTCAGGAAAATACAGGTAAAACTGGAAAATTGTTTTTAGTAATGAACCGACACATTAAAGCACAATTCAATCAACCTAGTTGAACTTGTTCGTGTGATTTTCATCTTGTTTGTGTGGTTTTCTTTGGGGGAGTGGTGTTTTTCTTAGGTCATACAAAACAAACAAACAACAACAACAAAAAAACACCAAAATTTCCTGTAACAGTCACTTCTACAATTACATTATTATTAAACATAGGACTTTATGTGATGAAGCCAACCAATATGGAAGTGAATCTCATCACTGCCACCAATCTAACAGGAACCTAGCCCAAAAGTAAGGAGGGTCAAATCATCTGAGAAAAGGAAGGTGATCAATTGCCTTAAGGCAATTTTACTCCTGGTCTAAAGCTACTCACAACTCTCGCCCCTCTATTGTTCTATCAAGAAGCTGGAGAACAGAGAACTAACTGTCTTGCTTTTCTCAGTGCATCTGCGACTTTTGCCGCTACCCCTGCATGTCTCAGAGAGGAAAGACAGACCAAAATTAAAAAGATAACTGGACAAGTAAAATTATGTCACTGGTAAATTAGGGCACTTTCTTCAAATTAAGCTTTATTAATTATGCACTTAATAAAAACAAATGACATTTATGCAGACTTCTCAACAACTAAGAAAGATTAAAAACAAAAACCAAAGACAAGATTTATACTTACTACCTACATTTTGTTTTGTTTTCTTAAAGGGGAGGTTATACTTTAGCCAGAAATTTTTGAAAGAAATACTATTTAAGAAGAAAAATATAGTATTTTCTTGTTCCATAGAAATCAATTCCCTAAGTTTCAGTATTTTTAATATATAAATAATGCTCGGATATTAAACAAGGAAAATTTAGGCAGTGACTCTAAACTCAATAAAGGAAAAAACTGACTAAAAAGCTTATCCGAGATAAACACATAGAGCTTGCATCTGGATACAACACTGAATAACTATGGCTTTAAAAAAATATTAATGTTTCAAAATTCCACAATTCTTCAGTTATTCTTTTTTTACATATAGAATACTTTTCATATAATTTTGAAACAAAATGTGAATGATCTTGATCTAGAACTATTATTTGAATAGTAAAAAATTATGTTTATATGCACCATAGACCTAGTATTTTAAAAAGGAAGACTTATAACTGTCAAAATATAATTTCTAATGATTAATGTCCTTTGGAATTTTGCTACAAAACAGAAGATAGAAAGTTTTGAGGTACTGCTGCCTTAGAATCTTTCCAAGGTTTGGGTAAAAAAAAAATAAATAAAAATGGAGGTTTTAAAAATTCAGTTTATTGTTGTTTTTTTTAAAAAAAAAAAAATCAGTGTTTTTTTCTCTCCAGTTGCGAAGCTCATTAAATCTCCTCTCAGTCACCATTGTATTGGCATTCCTGAGCTTGTCTCATCTGCATGTCACATGCAGCCATCTGCTGTTTCAGCCATTCTGTTTGGTGCTATGTCTTGTTATACCAATTCATGGAGCGTTTCACTGCCTTCACCCAGTTTTCCATACTCATTTCATATTCCTGCCATTTCTTCTGTGGCTTGAAAACTGTTTCACTTTGTCTCAGTTTCTTTAGTTCCTCCTTGTCAGTCCAAAACCCTATAAATAAAAAAAAATTATTCTCACATTTTAAAGCAAATAATGAGTCCATAAAGTTTATACACAAACTTATGTGAATTGGTGCAAAGGTAAACAATTATTATTTTAAAACATAATCCAAAGTATTTTATTGCTTTTGAATTTTGTTGAATTGACTGTCCCAGGGAATGAATACAGCGGGATTTAAAAGTCTTTTGACTTTATGTGCACATGGCAGAGCACTAAAGTTGCTTCTAGAACAACCATGCCTTGTCATCATCATTTAATCTCATGACTTATTTAGAAAAAAATAAGAAATAACATATTTTCTTCTTATAGATTAAAAAAAAAAAGATAAATTAAGAATGTATCTTGAGGGGAGAAACAACTCCTTAGAACAGAGGTAGGGATCCTTTTTTCTGCCAAGGGCCATTCAGATATTTATAACATCACTCGCTTAATATAATTCACTTAATATAAACTTATATTGCTATGAAAAAAACTCCCAGGTTTGTTGAATTTTTAATCACATTTGCAGGTGCTTGTCAAGGCCAGATCAAAGATTTCCAGGGCCTTATATGTTCTGAACCCTGCCCTAGATATATGCACAAAATTTAAAAATGGGATTTACTAGAATAAATTCTTCCTTTTCAAACTATTGCATTTCATACAAGCTACTTAAATTCCTATTTAAGACAATGTTGGAGTTCTGGCACACATTGTTTTTTAAATAAGCAGCAACTATGAGCATAAGTGGTCTAAAATGGCAGAGGTCTTGGTAGTAAACTTGGCACACATCACTTACTCTGAAGTATTTAATTGACAAGTCTTGTGAAATACATTTTCTCCTACCAAAAAAACTGACACAAAATTCTTCCTTCTAAAACTTTCTGTTAAGTCACAAACTTTCTATTTACAAAGTTAACATTTTAGACTCTCTATTTAAAGGTATAACTGATAGAAGTTTCTAAAAGACTAAACAGTTTTAATTAGTATAATACAGTAAGATGAATCTAATCATAAAAATAAATATGTTCTTAAAATCCATTTTCCAGAATTTATTATTTAGACCAAGGCATACATATTTCTAAAGTTATTTTATTAACTATGCATGGAATAGATCCATGACTCTGAGTGAGTTTTGAAAACAGAGGATGTGCATAGCCTTCAGTCTCAAATGTTAGAAAGAGAAACCTTTGGACCAGAAATCTCAGCTATTCTGAGAAAGTGAAACTATTTCTCTGCAGAGTGCAGTACCCTGCACTGAAAAGGTTTGAAATTAAAAACAGATATAATGAAGCAGATGAAACTCAAGCCACTGTGTTTTGTGTATGAATAATCTGCACATGTTATTTAAAGTATTTTAAATGTTCAAGATAAGCTGACATACTTTTTCTTATATTAGAATTTTATGAGAATTTACTTATTCAATTTGCAAGAGTTGTTTAAGTACTTCAGATTTTTCTTATTATAGGTATAAGTTTGCTCAGTTATGTGAAACTAGAGGCCTGGTGCACAAAATTTGTGTACAGGTAGGGTCCCTAGGCCTGGCAGTGATCAGGGCCACTTGGGGCTTTCTGGCTGCTAACCAGGGCCTTCCTTTGTTCTGCGCTGCCCCCTGGTAGTCAGTGCATGTCAGAGCAAAGGATCGAACTCCTGGTCTCCTGGTCAAACACCCAAGGGGGCACTTTGCACAGTAGCCATATATATATATTAGTAGCCCTGCACACAAATCGGTGCACCAGTAGCTTTCTGCAGGGCATGACCACTCTGTGCTCACTGCCCAGAGGCTCTCTGCAACCCAGAGGCCCATCCATGGCCAGGCGGAATGCTTGCCTTGTTGCTGGGGCGACAAAGCAAAGCATTCCGCCAGGCCGTTCATGCTGCCCACTCTCAGCAGCCACCCCCCCGGGACTGAGGGACTCTGGCAGGGACTCTGACTGGGCACTACCATCTTTGTGACAGAGTGATGGTTGATTTGCATATTACCCTTTTATTAGATAGGAGGACTAGAGGCCCGGTACATAAATTCGTGCATGGGTGGGTCCAATAGGGCTGGGCTGGCTGGGAGGAGGGGATGCAGGAAGTTGGCTGGCTGGCGACGATCTCGATTGAAGTGGAAAGGGCTCATTGGGGCAAAGTTGGCTGGGGAAGGAGCTTCTGGCCTTGCCCCCTGGTCAAAGTCCTGGTAAAGGGGACAGCTTGCATCTTCGCCTTTTGTTATATAGGATTATTTTAAAAAATCAACTGTATTAAATTTTTAAGGGTTAACACATACAAAAAACTTTAAATTGTAAATGGGAATGACTAAGGGAAGGTTTTTTTCTTAAATTTTAATTAATCAAATATTAGTCAATGAACAAATGAAAGTGTGATAATTTTATTCAAAGTTAACAGATTTTTAGTAGAATAAAGTTGAAGTTGAATTTACCAAGATTTCAGGCTTTTTGAATTTGTAATTTTACTATGTTAAGTCTTAGCCTAAAATTTAACTGAAATATTCTGTTCTGCACAAATATTCCTCCCTTCCATACAGGAACACATTAAAACATTCCCAGTGTACCAAGGGAGTATTTCATAAAGAACTCCTAATGGTCTCTGCACTTCCATTCTTTACCCTTCAAATTAGACCTTCCACTAACTTCCAAAGCGATCTGTCCAAGTGGAGATCTATCCATGAGCCTCTCCTGCTCAGAGCTCTTCAGGGGGTCTCCAATGCCTTAACAATCAAGCCCAAAATCCTCTTCTTGAGGAATCCACCAGATCAAGTAGTCTGGGTAACCTGCCCAGACTTTCTCTTGCTCTCATCATATCAGCCCTTGCTGTTAATAGGCCGGTATTGAAAAGCCAGAAGAAAGCTATGTAGATAGGTGCTGCACCTCAGGAAGGAAAAGTAAAAACCAAGAACCCAATTAAGAAGAGTTACTAAGACACTCTCACGGGTGGAGAAGGAAAGATGCACGTGGGAGGCGTGAGCTTTAGGCTGTATGTCAGCTTGGCCGGCATGGCTCAGTGGTTGTGTCGCCCTTTGAACCAGGAGGACATGGTTCAACTCCCAGTCAGGGCACATGCCTGGGTTTGGACTCAATCACCAGTAGGGCAGTAGGGGGATTGCAGGAGGCAGCCGATCAATGATTCTTTTTCATTGATGTTCCTATCTCTCCCTCCTGGTGTGTGTGCGTGTGTGTGTGTGTGTGTGTGTGTGTGTGTGTGTGTGTGTGTAAAAGGCTAAATGACCACAGCATCCAAAACAACCAAATGGACGACCAAACAGGCTGTGTGGGGTGACTAGGCTGGCAGGGGGTTAAGTGAGATTGAGCAGCAGGCTGTATGTGGCTACCAGGCCTGGAGGAGGGGTAGTTGGGGGTAACCAGACTGGCAAGAAGGGCAGTGAGGAGCGACCAGGCTGGCAGGGGTGGCAGTTAGGGGTGACCAGGCCAGTGGGGGGTAATTGAGGGGGACTATGCTGGCATGGGGGGAAGTTGGGGTTGACTAGTCCAGCGGGGGGTGAGGAGGGCGGGGAGGGGGCAGTTAGGGGCAATCAGACAGATAGGCAGATGAGCAGTTAGGAGCCAGTGGTACTGAATTGTGAGTGATAGGGAAGGGTGCAGACTGGGCTGAGGGGACCCCCCCCCCCTCCATACATGAATTTCATGCATTGGACCTCTAGCCTATAATAATAAAAGCATAATATGCTAATTAGACCTAATGTCATTCCACACAACCTTCCAGATGAAGCCAGGGCTACGCGGGAAGCCCGGTGCCAGAGGGAAGCCATTGCTGGAAACTGAGGGAAGGAAGTCCTACTCTTGCATAAATTTTGTGCATGGGGCCTCTAGTATATAGTCTAAAATTAAAAACCCAGGGTCCATAACATCCAAAACAACTGAAGACTTGATCATATGGAAGTCAGTGCTGGGTTGCTATGATGACCCAGCACCGACTGCCACTGCTGGGGGCGTCCCAACCCAGCACTGACTGCCAAGGGGGCTGTAGATCAGGCCTGGGGAGTGGCCAGGGTCTGATCCGTAGCCTCTGTGGCAGCTGTTGATCAGCACTTGCCTATCTCTTTCTCTCAGGGCCTGGCCAGCAGCTGTGCCTCTTTCTCTCTGGACCTCTTCTGGGGCTGCTGATTAGCCCCACCTTTCTAATCAGTCCTGTTGATAGTCCCAGAGATGCTGACTGGCATAGAAACCGACCAATCAGAACCAAATATGGGGGAAGTGTGATAAGCCAATGGCTGCGTAGGAGGCAGAGCTTTTGACACTGACTGGCATAGAAACTGACCAATTAGAATCTAATTTGGGTGAACTGTGAAGGCAGAACCTAAGGTGAGGACTGAGGAGGAGTTTTAAGGGCAACAGCTGTTTGGTGTAAAGTGTAAGAAAACCATTCAATTTTCTAATGACCGGTTTGGCAGTAGAGTGCATATGGCTATCAATCTAGATATAGGGATTATGTATTTTTGTCTGCCAAAGCATCTCCTTCTGATGAAAAAGGCTTCCCCTGCTATTTAAGTAATCCTATTCTATATAACCTATTTATACAAATAAAAGGGTAATATGCTAATTAGACCAGGACAACCAGCCATTTCTGGACGTCTGACTTCCTTCTGGACAAAGCCATGATGGTGGGGGCTGAGGCAGAGGCCATTAGGGGCAATCAGGCTGGCAGGGGAGGGCAGTTGGGGGCAACCAAGCTGGCAGGGGAGGGCTATTTGGTGTGATATCAGACCTGTTGGGTGTGAGATCAGGCTGGCAGGGGAGGGCAGTTAGGGGTGATCATACAGGCTGGCAGAGACAGAGTGACAGGAAGGCAGGTGGAGAGGTTAGGGGCAATCAGGCAGGCAGGCATGTGATCGGTTAGGAGCCAGCAGTCCCAGATTGCATGGTCAGACATCTCCCAAGGGTTCCCTGATTGGAGAGGTGCAGGCTGGGCTGAGGGAACACCCTCCCTCGTCCCATACATGAATTTTGTGCACTGGGCCACTAGTAATAAAATAAAATGTATGGATATTACTA